GGCGAATTGTGGTCTGAATGACGGCATCCGTCCGGTGGTCCACATTAGCCGTCGCCTCGTCGAGCACTAGTAGGCGGTTGTGGCGGAGTATAGCTCGAGCCAAACAAACCAATTGGCGCTCACCTACACTCAGATTACCGCCCCCTTCGCTCAGTAGGCCGTCCAGCTGTCCGGGCAGGTCCTGAACGGCTTGTCGGAGCCGCACCTCCTCTAAGGCACTCCATATCGAGTGATCCGTGTATTCCCCGAAAGGGTCCAAATTTCTGCGCACCGGACCCGTGAAGACCACCGGATCCTGAGGTATGATTGAGATGTTGCGCCTCAAGTCATGCAAACCTATCGATTTGGTGTCCACGCCGTCCACCACTACCTCTCCCCTGGGCTCCACCATCCGGAACAGGGCTGATATTATGGACGACTTGCCGGCACCGGTACGTCCGACTATACCTATCTTCTCACCACTCTTGACAGTGCAGCCGATGTTTTTGAGCACCGGTTTAGTCGATCCCTCATAAAACAGATACATTCGCCGAAACTCTATCCGTCCCTTCGATGGCCAGTCATGTGGGGGTCGGTGCCGGTCATCCGAGTCTAACGGCGCCTCCTGTGGTAGTCTCTGATATTCAATGATACGCTCGACTGAAGTCAACTGACTCTCCAATTCAGCCGACTGTCGGACACCCCATGCCGTCACTCCCGTCAGCATTAGGGCTGACATTAAAATGTTATTAAAATTTATTTTTGAAAACATTTTATCAATTTTATGCTTACCTGATGAAAAGGCCAGACCTGCACTGCCACCGGGAATACCTATTTATATGTAATAATTATTATTAAATATTTATTTAAATTGACAATAACCAATTTGTAATTAAATGATAAAGTATAAAAATATTTAAAATTTCTAATAATTAGTAGCAAGTAGCATTTGTTAAATATGGATTAAATAGTAAATTATTTTACTGTATATATTCTAATACTGTTAATTGCTATGTCATGGATAAGTTGTTACTAATTTTATACACCTATAGATGATTATCATAAACTAATTCTGGTCAGATACATTAAATTACTTTTTAAAAATATAAATAAACTTTCTCAGATAGCACCATTAGCTTGGACCCCAACCCAAACTGTATGTTCACATTTAATTAGATTTTAAATATAATATTTTAACGACTAATGAAAATGAAAGCATTTGTTTGTGGGTTACCATCGGGAAAGACCATCAACACGATGGCGATCATCACAATATACAACACGCAAAACCAGTCGATAGTCCAGCCCAAGCCCCGGGATGTGCCCAGGAATGTGAACCACGTGGCCGAGTGGTCGTTCTGGTAGACGTAGAACTGGCGCTCAAAGGCCTCCTGTGCCCCATAGGCGCGCACACTGGCCAGTCCGCTAATGGTGGTGCTTACGTGCGAGTACACGGGGCTCCGGGCTAAATGAAATGGTGTATTATTTGGGTTATTATTATTAAGTAAGGTGATTTTTATGATTTTTAAACTAAGGTATTAATGATTGCGTACTAAGCCCTTCAAAGCGTTTGATATCCCTGGCCGATTTGATGTATATGCCCCGTATGACGGCCACCATACAGAATATGAACACCGCTGGTATGACCAGGTATGGGTTCACCAGTCCCACCACCACTATTACACCTATGGTTTGGCCGATTATCTATTTAATACCGTTGCATTAATAATATTGTTGAACATGGATCAAGATTATAATGAGTGTATTTACCATGTTTAAGTCGAATGATGTAGCCGGTAACATCTCGTCGACGACACCGAGGTCTTTGGTGAATCGATTCAAAATGCGACCTGGACACAATTGATAAGTGGCATTCAATATAGTAAGAGTTGCAAAATTATATATATTGTTATACACACCGACGGGGTTGCTGTCAAACACGGCAATCGGTGCCCGTAATAGTCGATAGAATATACTGTTGTGTAGATTAACGGACGCCCGCATACACATCACAAACCACGTGATGGCCCGGATGAATGTGGTGAAAAACAACAGGCCTATCAGTCCCGAGTAGATATACACATCCAGGTGCTGCTCGTATGGGTCTATAGCGTGTCCCTGGGCTTGATTTTTATCCGTCCTATATATTTCATTATTCAATAAATTAGTATTATTTATCAAGCTGATTTATACAATGATGATTTTGATGACATACCAGGCTGTTAGCCACAGGTCTGAGCCGTGAAATATAGTTTGCGATATTATGGTAAATAAGAGGGCGGATGTGCCCAATAGGGGTCCGGCGCCCGCTTTGATGTACTCCCAGTACACGCGGCTATCGATGGCACCCACCTCTCGCTGCTCCTCTTGAATCCGGGGCCCATCCCCGTCCTCATCGTCCTCTTCAAGTATATCAATCTGTTTATCAAATAATTGTTTAAAATTTAAATTAATTTTAATATTTTTCAAAAGAAGTATTAATTGTATTTGTATGCGGCCTACCATGCTCAAATACACAAGCAATGGATTTAGTATTAAGTAAATAAAATATAATTTAATTTAACCAAGATTATAATAAGGATACTAGGATACTAACTACCGTAGTAACTGAATATAATTATCTAGCTATTTATGCTGTACTTACGCTGGACGTGTCGATGCTGTCCGTAATGGAGACACTACTCTTGGAAAAGGATCTCACTTTCTGGGCCTCAATACTCGACTGCGAAAACGATCGCATCATAGCATCCCTGTCCAAGTGATGGCTCGACTTTTTATCCTCGGCAGCCAATGCGGTGTTCTGAGCCTCCCTGTCCTGATCGCTCAGTAGTTTCATGAAGTCCAGGCCCTGGGAGTGGAGCTCGTCGTATGAGCCCAACCCCAGGCACCGGCCCTCTGGGCTTAAGACCAGTATTTGTGTGGCTTTTCGTATGAATTGGATTTGATGTGTGACTAGAATTCGGATTTTGTCCGACAAGTACTCCACTATACATCTAATGGAAAGGCATGTTAGAGGACTGGTAGGTGTGTCTCATATGACTATTAATGGCATTACTTATCAAATATATGTTCGGCAACAGAGGTGTCGACAGCACTCAACGGGTCGTCCATTAGTACGATAGAGAGATCGTCGAGTTTGACGAACCCTTCGCTTTACTGCAACGGAGGGGACAGTTGTACGACATGTGCAGAAAGACCGGCAAAGATATGTTCAACCATTTGATGAATTTGGCCAAAGAGTCACATCTCAAGAGGTCCACCACTAGTGAGGCGGAGGAGGAACTGGAGGCTACGGATATCGGACAACAAATTGTAACCATATCACCACATAATGAAAACTCACCCATTAATCAAACCTACGGTACATTTGCTGACAAATAAACAATTACTTACTATTTAAACAATTAATTCATACATACATTGAAATGTATTTTATATTCATTTTAATAAATCCTTTTTACAAATCTAATTAACTTATATTTCCAAATGAATTTTATTAATGAAAATATTTTTTATAAACAAAATCTTGATTTCATGTAATAATTACTAATTAAATACAAATGAATGCGAAGTTTGTGTGAAATATTGTCGTGTATTTCATTTCAATAGCTTATCGGTCGCCGTATTAATGCAGTCATAGATCTGATTCATTACGACATTGTCCTTATGGTTAGTATGACTATCGCCCGAACCGCTCGACTCCCTGTCCTCCTCGTCGTCCACTTCATTGGTGTTGAATCGCTGCAAATGTGACTCTTTGGCCAAATTCATCAAATGGTTGAACATATCTTTGCCGGTCTTTCTGCACATGTCGTACAACTGTCCCCTCCGTTGCAGTAAAGCGAAGGGTTCGTCAAACTCGACGATCTCTCCCGCGTCTAACACCTGATGGTAAGGGGAAAGGGAGGCAAGGGATGGATGTGTTATATAATAGATACTATGAAATGGTGTAAAATATATACCAAAACGCGGTCGCAGTCTATAATAGTGTTGAGTCTGTGAGCGATCGTAAGGACCGTACAGTCACTGAATTTGTGGCGAATTGTGGTCTGAATTAAGGCATCCGTCCGGTGGTCC